GATAGTACAGAATCGACCATTTTTCGGCTGCACTATAATCCTATGTACACTAAGGTCGAAAATAGTGTGACGAGATGGTAAACAGATTATAGACTAAAAAATACACCAGATAGTGACAATGCACTGTCAATTTATCCTGCAACCGCTTCGTGTATCAGCCGATAACTACTGCCAGATAAACCAGTACCTTTATCCGTCAGTACAAAGTGCTTTATCCGTCAATACGATTCACGTGAAGTTGTTCCGATTTTCACCGGACTATTTTCAAGTTGACTAACGTGCAGTAACAATGTTACACAAGAAAACTCGCAATTGAATTCCATCTTTTACGGTGCAACTCTCCACATAAACCAATTGAACATTTACACAAACAACAGTAATCCAATGTGAATAAACATTTCAGAATCTCTGACGATTATCCAGTTCCCGTGAATCTAACATTTCCTACGGCTGTCAAGCTACACATGTCTTCGGTGACATCTTACTGTTACATACGTGTGTAATTTTTGAAAAATTTGAACTTTTTTATTGATTGATTCATGATATCTGTTATGGTATTAAACGGTTAATTACAGAAAATGAATTGTATTTGTGTGATGTTTTCATACACAAATGGGTTTTAATATGATTTGAGGTCATAACAACGAACAGAACTATATTTCATTGCGCATTTTTATGAATGGAAATCTTCTTACGCGACGAAGTGAGGGCGCCGCTTCAGTACAAGCAAAGGTAAACAATATTGCGCTGTACTCGTTTTATGTAAACATTGTAAAAAAAATGGTTGCAGGATAAACAGAATACATGGTCAGTATCGTACAATACAAGGTTTATTTTTGACTCGGAACGAAAAGACTGAGATGGCGAGCCTTTCTCAGTCTTTTCTAACCCTCGTCAAAAATAAACCTTGTATTGTACGATACTGACCATGTATTCTCTATTCAGCTACGTTTTGTTGAACACTGGGTCATAGATGTGCGAGAGTCTGTGACCCCCTCCCCCAACTCCTCGTCCCTATTAAGTACTGGCCGGCTGCGGCGTATCCAGATGGCTTCCTTAACCAACCGTCTGAAAGGTTGTTTTCCCTGTCGACTATTATGGAAAATGTTCCAAAATCTTCGGCCTTTACATTCTTAGATGTTGCAAATTTGAGCATGAAAATGCGTGTAGGGCCTACATAGGATTTTTTATGATCATGTGAACGAATCCTCATATGTACGTCTGAAAAATAGACAAATCCAAGATTATAGTTCCAACATTAAAAGCTTTTTTAATTTGTCATGATGTCATGGTGGTATTAAATTTACACGAAATCATCATTAAAGGTATGTAAATGTATCAAATATGAAATAAATTTGTTATTAAAAAGTTAATTTATGTTAATGCTTCATTATATAGTGGTTGTAATCTGTTTACAGCTCTAAGGAGGACCCGAATGTTCTTGTGAAGGCCGTTTCTTACTCAGACGAGTCTGAGGAGTATGAAGATACTCCCATTGAACAGAAAACGTTTCTTTGACAGAACTCGTTTTCTGAAAGTAGAAATTTCGTCTAATGTAATGATTATAACATGTTTCTTCAATGTTAAACGTTGAAAAACTGCTGTAAAGAGCAATTGTACTTTTATTATTTTTTCTATATCTTTCGGAAACAAAAATAAGAATATTTTACTCCAATTAACCAGAATATGAGTTTGTATGCTTATTATTTTCATTCTTCATCTATAAACAAATTGAGAAATGGCAAAATAAACCATTTGTGTCCATGCCCACTGTCTTTATAGAACAAAGGATTAAAGAGTACCGTCAAATAAAAAAGAAATAAGTTCATATACTTTACATAAATGTAATACTTCAAAATAAATATTTTGTTCGTTGGATTATCCAAGATGAATATTAACATGATAACAGAATCATTCTTGTAGAAATACTGAGCTTTAAACCATTGAACGAAGTTTATGTAACTAAAATGTTAATGAATGGTGCTGGGAAGAATATCTTCGATACTTGAGTAACAAGTTCGTTTGATTCTTCATCTTTCAATTATAATTCATTGAAAGTAATGGGAATGTTTCGAGCGATATTGACTAAATGAAATTCCTGTGAAAATGAAGAACTACAAATAATATAACGGTCGTATATGAGATAAGATGGAATGCTGCGGATAGAGAGTGTACTTTTGTAATGTGTAACAGTCTATCACTGGATCAGCCCTAAGAGGAAATGATTATATATATATATTTATTATACTACAGGGGAATAAAAGCAAATATTATTAATTATTATAATTAATCATATACAATTATCACTGTTTTATAGCTATGTCTGTAAATTGTAAATTGAAAATTGAAAAACAAAAATAACTCAAACGATAAAAATGTCTTCATTTGCAAAACAATTTAGATTTTACAAAAGTTACTATCAAAGCCCAGGTAATAACTGTAGATGTAGAACATAAAGAACGTATACATGTTTAATAAATAATCAGACAGAATCCTCACAAACTTTATACAATTACAAAAAAGCATTGCGTCCTACTAATATACCCACTAGACGACAAGGCCACTTAGATTGATCCAGAAGCTGAGTGATTGACAGCAGCACATCATATTTCACCTGTTATACAGACATTCAAACAATCTAAATAAATGCTGTATTTGGTACGATTTCTTCGCTTTTGTTATTTGTAATGAAGTGATAAATCATTGGTGCAACCATATTTTACTTTCAGAAGAGAAGGTGAAGAGAGCAGGATAAATGTTTTTTATTAACATACTTTTTGACATTGTTGGAAAATTACGTCATGTAAAGTGATCGAGACTTTTCCTTTGTGTTCAATCTCCTAACGTTTTCCTTGTTTTGTTAAATTAGCTGTGTCGTTTTACATTACTTTTTTTCAATACTGATATGTTAATTGAATTGAAGCTTTATATGAAGTTGAACATAAAAATGAACATAAACATGAACTTAAGCTATCGAAAAAAGGTCAGGAGTTGTTGTTTCGATGATTACATGGTCAGCTTCATCAGACAAATGACCAATGTTGAGCATACTAGCACTGTCTTACGTAGTGTACCAGATGGTAAGGATCGATCAACTTTTTCGGTTGTACGATAATGATGAAGGTGACCATATACTCATCGAAACGTCAATCTCTGATCTTCTACTTGTTATGTTATATTGGCATTAGCAGCCTGAAGGAAATGTTCCGAAATAAAGAAAGGCAAACTTTCAAAACCAAGAATATAAAGAATGAATTAATCCGCACCATACAGTTGTTACGTCCTTTTAAGACTGATCAGTGTACAGAGAACCGACCGAGATTGCTTGACAGTTTACCCTTAAAATATACAATTTATTTACAATACGTCATAATTACAGTCTACACATTAACTTAACAAAACACACATGCGAGATGGTTCTCTCTTTTCCTTCTATCACTCGATAAGTGACTAATGATACAATTAGATAAATGAATTTGTAAACACTAAAAGTACGCAAAAAAATAATTGCAACTTCCGATGGGCTTAACGCATCATCACGTATGGCATGGTACGTATATATAGAACCTGGAACTCACAGGTGCTCTCGTCCAACATCATCTCTTCCAATCATTAGACATTTCCTATTGGCCACACAGTCCAATAAAAGATATGAGTTGGTCACACAGACCAGCGAAAGGTATATGATGGTCACAAAGACTAGTCGCTATCAGGCAAAAAGAAAACCAATTACGACGTTGGTCACTCAGAAAAGGCGAGTATGTGGTGTTTCAAACCGCTTATTTATCACTTGACCAGGGTATTTGACAAGTGATGATGCTAAGGATCATAATTATTGAAACGATTGTAGAAAAGACAAACAAGTAAATATCACCATTTATATTCAAATTAAGAATTAGACACAGAAGATACAAATACTGAATTAAACTATATCATGTAGCGAGCAGTTATTCTCTGTTAATCAGCTTAAGTGAAAAATTGCAATGTGATTAACAGACCGAGCCAATCATATTTCAAATGACTAATCATTTTAAAAGTCATGACTGATGTCAGTCAAAACTACAACTGTAAATCCTAATATGCGAATTCGTCCTTCAGAAATGATTAGACTTTACAAAAATATTTGGCATTTTGCGCTCCAAGACAGTATTCTGTAAAGCTATCAACAATATGTCGAAGCCCCGAGAGGTCTACATCGTTGGATTTTTACACTTCCGTTGAAGATGTGAGGTGTGATTTGATCCTAGCCATGGTCGGTTTGTGTTTCTCGAAACACGATCGGTATAGAATAGTGTAGATCGGTTTCTGCATGTTGTTCTGTGCGGTAGCCACATGCTACGTTAATACCCTGCACAAAAATACCTTATATAAACCAACAAATCCCATAACGAGTGTTTGTTTTTTAAGTTTTGTCAACAATAAGTATGTATTTCTAATTAGGTGGTATGATCTTCCAAGATACCACTGGCATACACAAGGGAGATATCTGTCCCACTCCTGTTGACTGACTTGTTTTATCTTGCTTATCAAAATAGGTTACAAAGACCTTGCAAAGTTGTTTAATATCACTTTCAGATATATTATTAACTTTCCGTTTTAAAGGAAGTCGAGTCCATGGTGGTTGTTTGGTTTGTTACATGTTTTACGTTCTCAGTACACGTATACCGAGTTCATCTCTTTGACGATCTATAAAGACGACCATCTCAGTACAAGAGGAGGATACGAGCAAGATAAAAACGGATAGAGTGTTGTCAAAAGTTGCTGATTGTTTTAAAAGACTGAATAAAACGAAATCGTTTTAAAAACTAATGAAATAATACCCACTTTTACGTAGAAATAATCTACTTTTATGTCAACCATGGCTCTATGTACATGGATATGTGAAACATTGTATGAACTCTAAGATAAGATAACTGATATGATTCCTCCTATTTGATTCAATAGTATTGTGATCCGGACACATTCTGCGTCCACTAGTGTTATCAGGACAACAAGCAAGCATGGACGTACTCTTCTTTCTGCTTCCGTTTGTCGTTTTGATCTATGGTGATACAGAGCTTCTGAAAAATCCGGATTTTGAGAGCATATCATTTTCCGGAAACTGGGTTTGCCAAGCATGCACTTTGTCAAGAAGCACTTCCAGCTATCATGGGCACCATAGTGCTAAAATAACAAACAGGTATAAATATTTTATTTTTATTAATTGATATTTTATAATTTTAGTCAAATTTCAAATTATTTTAGTAGTTTCTTCATAATTTCATATTTTCTAACTATATAATTAATGTTTAAATGGGCACATCTGTTCAAAAAAAGCCACAAATATTTAGTCAATCGTTAAACAGTATGTTACGTTCCTGCAAAGGTTATATTATAGGAATAATTCACAGAAACATACATATATGCTTTAAGCGACAATATCCCCATTGTGAGGCTAGGATAATGTACTCATATACATTTATATTTAGATACGGAAATTCTAGAAATTTGATCATGATCATATTTAAATGTTGGAGTGTTAATTGCTGTCAAATTTGCTGGTATATGTTCCAGACAACACAGCTGGTCTGGAATAGCCCAGACCATTAACGTGTTACCTGGTCAAAGGTATGTCTTTAGTGCACATGTCAAACTGCTTAACATGGCACAAGGTCACATGTTCCATAAGGTCGAGGTCATGGTAAAGGAGACGATCAATGGTAACTATAAATAGCAATATTTGTTAATCGTTTGATAGAAGCGTTGCGTATCAATGACAAGATGAATTATCCTCTATAATTGACTTATTATTTGCAACTGGATACAAATTTGTTTTAGAGCCGACAATTTAAGAATTCAGTCTCAAAATTACCTTGCAAGTAACTGATTGGTCATGTTTCTACACTTTCACTTATATCAATCTCATATCTTATCTTTAACTAGAACTAATCTTTTTACTGTAATGCGTCGGCCATCAGTAAACTTGTATTATTTCTTATCTCTTTGTTTTCAGTACTTATCCACATGGAGATCTTTTACTTGAAATACTGATGATTTTCTTACTTTAATGTTGCAGGCCATGACCAGTACCACGACTTTGGTGATAGCCCTAAGGTGCGGACAGATAACGGTTGGGTAAACGTTGGTTTTGACTTGAAAATTCCAAACAGTAAGTGATTATATTGTGTATTTCTAAAACATCATTTCAAAATAAATGTAATGTATGTGAATATTTTTGTCTTTTGTATACAGGTTTCATTTCATATCTCTAATTAACGTAAAGACTGACAGAACTAGTTTCTACTTATTGTATATATTTTCCTTACCTTGTTTTCAGATCTTCATCAGATTTACTTATATATTCAAATCGCTGAACCGGAAGTGAACTATCTCGTCGATTCTGCAAGTTTCAAACTTCTACCATATGATGCAAACTGGAAATCTGAGGCCAACGCTAGAATAAACAATATAAGAAAAGCTCCAATCACAATCAAGTATGTCTATGCGATAGTGCTAGAATATATCCGTAAAAATATTCTGTTATAAGAGTCTCGCGGAATCACTATGTTTCTAATTTCATCTTTTTACAATTGTTATAACAGGTATTTGTTTGTACATATCTATCTTTTACATATATCAGAACACTAATATCCTCGATGATAACACGTCTGGTAATAAAAATAGATGCAAAACCTGCCACCAGCAAGGCAGCCATATCAGAGATATGTGATATAGATCCACGTTTACCTGGACACGAGTATATTATCTTATTCATAGAGATTGTTCACGACTATTTCTTGAATGTTTGTCTATGAACTGATGAGTTGAAAAAGGACACATTGGATGACATTGAGATAAAAGAAATAAAATAGGTTTCATTTGCAAAGTTCAAATGATGGTTGTATACTATTGCATTCCAAAATCAGAGAGAAACGAGACCTACATGACATAAAGGAAGTATTCTTGCATTTGATTTTAAAAGTATGTTTTGAAAAATTCATTATAAAATTTTACTTATAACGATAACTTTTTATTGGGCCAGGATTTGTTTTTTTGTTTGTTTGTTTTTTCATAACGAATTATATGAAAAAGATCTGAAAATAATCTCATGCATTATAGCTTTATCACAGAAAAACATTCGGTGTAAAATAAAAACAAGAAAATACAAACATGTCAACAAAATCATACTCCAAACTCATAATTATATTTCAGTTTGCACAACATACATGGGTCTGGCTACCAAGTTGAGGTAACTTTATTACAATAACACTTGTTCAACCTTCATTGCAACACTGTTGTTCAATTTGATATGAAACCAAATCTTTATTTCCATATGTTTAAAACCTCATTCTCCCACAGACACCCACTAACCGGTCAGACAGACTTGTCCATAACGTTTTCTGTTTTTAGATCCAACAGACGAAGAGCAAATTTGCATTTGGGTCTGTAGTGGAAGCGAACAAGATCGTCGATTCGTCGTATCATGCATACCAACAATTTTTCTACGACAATTTTGAGTGGTCTGTACTGGAGAACGCTCTTAAATGGCGACAGATGGAATGGAGCCAGGCAAGTAATACATACAAATATACAACTTCTCGATCTTGTGTTCATCAACAGGTTATGATATCCTATTCCTTTGTCATTCAAACCGCTGCTTAGAAATGTTTTGACTTTTAGATATAAATGGCATAGAAAATATAACGATAGGCTATATGGTAGATATATATTGTTAATTTACAAATAAATATTTCATTTCAGGGTCACCCAAATCTGGATAAACCAATGAGAGCTGTGAATGCCCTCCGTGCGAAAGGGTAATATTTGTAGTTTTATTGAATATCTCAGTCGTGAAAAGAATTTGAACAATAAACAATGACGATATGTCATTTCAATTCAAAATGCAATCACTATTACTTATTGTAAATAAGCGAGGTTTATTTCTTTTTATTATCTTTGAACGAAACACAATTTCGATAATATTACTGGCATCAGTGATCACTTTAAGCTAAAGCAACAGAAGATACTTGCAATGATCAATTGTAATTTACCACTGATAATTCACATTCATAATTTCTAAGATTCTAGTTAGCACAAATTAATGATTAAAAGAATAAATGGTTTACTCGACTGGAGATTTCCAAAGAAAATGATCGCGAAGGTTATTCTGCATTAAACATGATTGCAGCAGAGTGGTCCAAAACACATCATAAATTATATGTAATATTACCGAAATGCTTTCTTGGTTTGCATATGAAATCTGCTGTGACATGCTGACATTTAAGTGATATAAAAAAGACATTTCAAATCATTTTCTTAAGCGACTTATTTGTAGTGTAAAGGTCCGAGGACACAACATGTTTTGGGGGACACACGGGACACATCCTGATTGGATTGACGGAATGGGACAATCAACACTGATACAAGCTATGCACACACATATTAATGATGTCATATCACGCACTAGAGGAAGGTATTTATTTTATGTGAACAATGTGATTTTCACGTCTTTTTTGCAACGTGATATAGTGAATTACAAACATTATTCATACTTGTCAAGGCTTATTAAATCGACTTTTTTGTATTATATTTATTGCAGAAAGCGTATTACATTAAGGGTATACTATCTTGTTACTTCGAAAGTAAATAATGGTTTCAGAATCAAATAATTGATTCAAATTTGAAATTATATGTCTTTACCATCAAATTGATATACTTTCGGATACAACACTTATCTACATGATGTATATATCACACGGTTAGTCTCGAGCACTGGGATGTATACAACGAAAATTTACACGGAATGTACTTTGAGCAGCATACGGGTCACCCAAACATAAGTATGGAGATGTTCAACTGGATCCATCAGGCGGAGCCGGGAGTGAAACTGTTTCTGAATGAATACGCAGTGGCCTCTTCAAGTCAGATGACCACAGTAAGAAATACTGTAATATGTAATGTGATTGAACATATTTCATCTCTTAAGTCGCTGCAATTTTTGTATTTTTATCATCTATATTTCTTATCATGTAGGTTGTAACAGTCTTTACTACTATGTTAATTCTGAAGGAGATTTGCATTAATAGCCATCAAGCATTTTTCCACATAGGAAATAATTATCAACATGGATTTCACGTTTACTTCATTTGAATTAGGGCAGGGTACATAATAAGCATTTGTACTTGACCTTGTTTTGAAATCACTTCATATTTGATATGCAAACTGAAATATGGGGTCTCTGCATCTCTGTTGAAAATTGTTTTAACACATTTTGATTTTACCCCAGTAACTACAACCTTTCTGGCTCATAGCATCATTAATGAGTCTTTGGGAACGAAACATACGTAAAGTGCATTTTGACTCATTATTTCGTTTCGCTGTATTTAATGCTTAATTTTCATAGAACGATACTATGCACTTATGTTTTTTCTTGTACAGTTGACTTCATCAACAAAGTAATGCCTCTTACTGACTGAAAAACATCTGTAAAAAACCGACATCATATTTTGATACGACTACCAATTGGTTTATTTTAATTGCTAAGGATCTTTTCTACATTATCCCTTAGCGATCTTAGATTTCAACAGTCTTCATACTTTTATAAAATCATAAGTCTGATTGCTTTATAACTAGGCATACAAGCAACAAGCTGTGGAACTGAAGAACGCTGGAATCCCGTTATATGGCATTGGCATTCAGTGCCATACAAACAGTCACATGGATATTACGTCATTAAAGGTTAGTATTGTACGTTTATCTGCCCTTACGTCATAAAAGGTTTGTCGTGTACATTTTCTTGTCCCTTACATCATTAAAGTTTGGCAAAGAAAGTTGTACTGTCCCTTCGTCATTGAAGGATGGTAGAGTACAGCTGACATACCCTAGTTTCACAAGAAATCACTTGATATTGAGTTCAGAATACATAGACAAATAACGCAACATCTTTACATTTTTGTAGAATACATTTCCTGGTTAGACTGATTTGTGATGAAAGGTAATATCGTTAAAGAAAACTCTTTAAAAGTGTTTGGCGGAGCTTGACGACCTCGGCAAAACATGATAACACATAATAAAAATGTGGCAGACAGGAAGAAAATAAAACAGCAAAATGACATACTTGCCATACAATTAAAGCCACACACAAATTAGCAGCAATAAGCATTCGTACGTTTACAGTGGTAAGACGTTATTGATACGTGATATCAGTTTAACTGTTTAAAACGTTTTGATTTATTTCACTTAAATGCAGTTCTCATTTCACTAGAATCGATTTTTAAGAAACCTTGGACCCGCGTTACTAAGTTGTCATAATCTAATTATATTAATATACCATAATGTTTGATAATGTATTTTAATTATTGTTTTATGCTATCTCTGTTACGTCCAGTACCGACTGGACAAGATAGCAGAAGCAGGACTCCCAATATGGATAACCGAGTTCACGGTAAATGAAGCTAACGAAGCATTGAAGGCTAATGCTTTAGAAAATATGATGACATTATTCATGAGTCACCCTGCAGTTGAAGGGGTTTTGCTGTGGGGATTTTGGGATGGACAACTGTGGCTACCTAACTCTGCTTTAGCAACAGGATCTAATGTACAGGTAACGCATTTAATGAGTGTGTTCTGAATGTGCAGGCGAAAGGAAGGCACAAAATTTACAATATGTACCCGAGCGATACTTAATGCAGGGATGCAATTTTTTTAAGAAACACGGCCAAATCAAATCAAAGAAGAAAAAAAAACCAGATATCACACATTAACCTTTTACGTATAGATATACATGTACATAAGTATTTTAATGTATGTTTTGCTAAAAGATTTTTCTTTATATTGAATTATAACCATCATGAGGATCGATTTTGCTTTTTAGCCCAATGCTGCAGGACGAAGGTATCAAACACTCTTCCACCAAACATGGCGGACTCACGTGACTAAATCTGTGACCGGAAATACAGTACACGCATCAGGGTTTATGGGAGATTACACAATCCGAATTAAACACAGCGGTCAAACTGTAAAGACACAGCATCTTACTCTCGACAAAGGCGGACTCACTGTCACCGTCAACCTCTAAACGTATGTATATGTTTTATGTTGTTTAACTGTTTTTGTATGAAACAATTTTGATATTTTATATCAGGAAATTACATACATCTATATTTATTAAATAAAATTCAACTGACAAGAAAAGCTAAGATTTACACAATATTGCATACATTTTCGCACGATTGTTTTAAGCAACCAAAATATGTCGTTTATATTGAGTTAACAATGATATGTATTACTTGGTAACTTCTTAATGTGTTTTTCAGATACATTGGCTGATCGCCATCTTCTGATAACGATACTTTGACAATATTGTCAATAATTCTATAATTTGTTCCATTTTTTTTATTGGAATGTTGATAATAATGTTTGATTATATATGTACCTGGGCATTGCTAATACAAAACACATAACTTTATACTCATATTTTATTTCTGTTCTTGTCTTAATCACACTCCGGCAATAGCTAATAACAAATCATTTACACCTGTCCTGTCCTTGGAAGCGTTTCCAAACGTCCTTGATCATTGGTCACAATTAATAATTTTAATAACCCTTCCGCTTAGCTTCTACGAATGTGGAAGCTTCCTAATTTTTTTGGAAGTCCATAATATTTTTTTTCGCTTTGAAGCCATCGGTTGCGACGTTGTTATGCTTTTTATGCGAAATTTGTAATATATTTCACGGCTGACAATAAACGATATCATAACTAATAATTAATAATCCACGAAAGTTGACGAAACATTCACGGCACAGAGAAGAATTCTACATTAAGGAAATCATATGGATATTTCAATATCCAATAAGTATGCCAACGTGATTTTATTTAAACAAATCTTATGTCAAAAAAAGACAAATGCTTCTAAAACAAGTTCTTACGGCCCTTCTCACCGAAGATCATGTGTAAATATGTGATATGTTTTAATTGATTTGATTGAATAGTTAACCATGCTTACAATCGATTGATATATGTAAAAATTACAACCTTGAACACATTCATTTCCCTCTCAATTGATGATTAAACATGCCTATATATGTATTAAATTAATGTTTAAAAAATCTTAATAACGGTATTTATGTACTGCTTAACTGATATTTAAGTACCAGTCGATGATAGAGCACAAGGAATGATGGAGAGGATACAATTAACTAAGAAAATAATCTGGAAACACATACTGAAAGTGTATGTTATACACGTATTTTGACTACAATAAGCACAACAAACATCAAATGAATTGAGTGATCTAAATTGTTTAATTTGACATAAAATGGTTTACGATAGAAATGACATTTTTCTCCATGATTTCAGAGATAAGCACGGTAGCATGTTTCAATTGACATAATGTAGCCATAGCTTACGGTTTGCGAGGCAAATGCAGAATGCCGTGGCAGTTTTGAATTAAACAGCACCCGTCATTAAATGTACTTATCTTGTAGATACACGTGTCAAGATTGTTGATAATATTGAAAGGCTATTACCATAATTAATAAATAAATTTCTCATTTTCTGTATGAAGAATTCTGAAACTCCCCCACAACCAATTCTAATAGATCAAACTAAGATACAAGGCGAGAAATCAATCATGCGTTGGTGTCGATAAATAATTCAGCACTTAAATTCTCTTGTTCAATACCAACAATTTCCTTGTGTCCTTTATGTTTCCTAATGATATTCACACTTTCATGGGATTCTCATCGTTTTCTAGATGTCAACTCTTAAATCCAACACCAGTAAACCATAATAAGGAAGAAACTGATAAGATCATTGTAACAATCAAGTAATTCAGAAATGAACACCTTACACGAAACAGTATAATGAATTCTGATATCAAGCGAACGAATGCGTCAATTGAGAACTTCACCAAAATGGTTTGTCTGTGCTGGAGAACAAAAAATAGTCAAAGCGGTTCCAAGTCTCTTCGTTCACAAATGAATTGTCTCTTCTCAAAACACCTGTTGTCTCCTATCCTAACACTTTTATATAAGGAGCCACAGTCAGCTGGACGTCCTGGTTCATACTTGGCATCATAGTTGTTGAAGAGAACGTCGATTCCTTCTACAGGTGTGCCATCTTGCCAGGTCCAAACACCTTCTGACGCTATGTCTGTCGCCCCAACCAGATATCCATTTTTATCGGAATCTGGTATGAGAACATAATATTCCAATTTCATAAACATGTTAATTTACATTCCACGTTCCACTTTTAAAAGTTCAATGTCTGAATAACAATCATTTCAAGTAACTAAAATATTGTAAACTACAGCAATACGCACTCACTGTAACGTAAATTCGTTTCTTCCTTTACATAAACCCGTTTCAATTGACCCCTGATAATCTCTGAATGTATTTCCCAACTCCATACTTGCACCATATTTTAAAGTGAAAACATATTCAACGATAGGAAAACGGAATTCCCTACTCTGGTTCCCAAATATTCTTTGGATTCATCTGATAAAATTCAATGAGATATGGAATTGGTGTACATTTGACTAAATTGATTTTCTTCAACTATTGCTTCCTGATATATATCCTTAGCATTGATGACAAGCCCGTTTTAGAAAGATGGCACACCTATAGATGAAGTTCACTTTATCATTTTGCTTGACTCTATATAATTAACTTTGAATAAATATCGAAATCATCCCAAATCAATGTCAAAGTATAGATGTGGCGAAGCCAAAAATAGATAACAAAATAAATGTTCAAATGTACTAATCAACTGGAGAATATGCATGTAGGTGAGTGACAAATTCAGAATAAACAGTCCTGTATTCTTTGAACAGAAACAGAACAAAGAAAGAAGGAAAGAAGGTCTACTCTCAATATCCAATAATTTAATGAGCTATTGTTTTCTTTTATTTATTGTATTTGCTTTATTTTTCTCTTTCATTTTTTTCAAAATATGAAAAATGACCGAAAACGATACAGCTATACACGTGAAAATATACAAAATTCCTACATCTCACTTCCTAATGATAAGTAATATAATAATTACATATCAGTGTGATGTTGATTGCTCCTATCATCCTCTCTGTACTCTCTAGCTTCGCTAAGACACCTCCCTCATCTTCACAGTATTGCTTGGCGTCTACATAACTTTTTGTCGTTAACACAACTTTCAGACATTGGCCGGTCATCCTATTCAAAGTGTAGCCGGCGCTGTCACATTCTGAAAATAAGGAAACAGTAACTCAACATTATTATAATTATAATCACCAGAAGCTTTTCACACAAGACAAAAATTCAAACAGAAGTGTAATCCAATCGATCTGTATCCTTTCCAGTGAACGGCGTTCATCTGATTTCATTTTCAATATCTAATTATTACTATCGTTGTTATGGTTGGCTTAAAGTACGTCATGTAATTCCCCGTTAGAATAATATCGACCAGCTGTGCGAAAACTTGGTTTCTGAAAAAAGTATCAGAATTACCTTAATTAAAAGAAATCACGCGTGCTTTTTATGATAATATATCACAGATTTAACATTGCGGTCGATACATCAGCCTTACTAAAACAGCTATCGACATTGGTTCCTTCTAAGGCGATACTTTAATATGGGTAAATCTTTGAATCAGTCATATCAAAACGCAACCAAATGAAAATTCTTATATGTAGACCCTATGGTGTCAGATTTACGGTCGATAATTCGTTACATTATATACACCAAAGAACAAGTCTTCTTTGGATAACGTAAGTTTTCATGTAAAATTGTTCAAGATAATTGTGATTGTAAACTAATTCTTAAACTTCAAGTACCCATTCATCGGTTGCATCCCTGCTGCATGAAGCTCGCTAAGGTGGGAAATGAGGGTTTTAAGGCTACATAAGTATTAATGTTTGTAACGTACATTTTGATATTGCTTGTGCGAATTTACAAAATCTAACATTGAAAAAAATATGCCCGATTTGCTGAAAACAGCAGATTATTGTAACTTGCATCTTTTAGAGATATGAAATTAACATTTTATGGTACAGTACTTGATGCCAGGCGATAGGCTTTCGCTCCGGTCCGATCAGTCAGAGTATCGAGGAACCGAACCACATCTGTATCGTTGTCTCCCGAACAATACTGAACCATGCTGTCATAGAAGACAACATTGCAACCGAAATGGAGCAGACACAAACCCAAACACGTATAGAGGTTACTTGCGTTGCCATGGAAACTGCCAGGAGATGGGATCCTTCCGGAATATCCGGGAAACACGTTGAAACTGGACTGGACAACAACGTTATCTACAAACAAAATTTCCTGTTATTATTTTCCAAGTTCAGTTTTCAAAAAGTTAATTACTACCATCCTTCGCTGGCTTTAATATCAATAGATATCGGCATGTATATGATTAAAAAGCCCAATATATCTCACATCGCTCTGAACTCAAACGAGAGAATGTTGGCTGAGACATTTTGACAGCTACAGACATATAAAGGCGAAATTATTGAAACACATGAATAAAAGCCATAAAACATTACAACATATTCTATATATTGATGATGTCTTGACTTTAAATAACAAGCAGTTAATTGACCATGTTTATCGTGTATACCCAACAGAACAAGAAATCAAGGACACAACAGAATCCTCTAAATCAGTTACTTCATACGATAATTTCCTACATCGAAAATGACAAGTACAGCTTTCCATCAAGCAGTATCATAATACATACAATTGTGACAAAAGTACATAGAATATTGCCATCACCATGATGTTATTATACGGACTGCTCATGCAATATTTGTAGAACGCTGAATTCATAATTAAAAAGAAAATACCGACATTAATAGTAATAAAACCCCAAAAATATGAGAATATGTCCGATCCTGATGGTTCAACGTATTCAGTTTCATAGATACAGTAGAGATCAACAGTGAGTTTAACTACATCATACAGCTGCTTCGTCCCTTTAGACGGTAATGGCCTAAATTGTGAAGCATATAAGGCTAATTGAAATAACACAACACGCAGTACAGAATCCAGATACATAAACACAAGAACAATTATGACACAGAAAGTTGAATATATCTTCGACCAGAAAATTATTAGAACTCCTGGTCTTATTCTCCTTGAACTTTTTCCATATTTTGCCATATCTTAAAAATAAATACGTTTCAATTGACATTCTGTTAATATGTTGGTATTTTCCTTGTTCTCTTTGTAAGTCTCCTTAGATATCAAAATGCAAATAAGATTTGGAAAAGTACGATTTCCTTAAATGATACAACACGGTTAATTATCACTTTTCAGTCATAATGTTGTTGTTAATTACTTGTTAGTTCCATGGATACCGCTCACGATGATCAATGTCCAGTGATGACCAGTATGATGAACAGTTTTCCTCAGTTAGTAACACAGTGCAACGATAAATCTGACTTGTTCGGCGTCTACTGTTTACTGATGAAAGATATATATATATATAGGTACTTATGTATTATGTATAGCAGGAAGACTTAATTATACGCTTGAACATGTTTATCGATTCGTAATCGAGAGTAATTGGTGGTATATTAACGGTGTGCTCCGTCTTACGACTTGTTTTCATTACAATCAAATGCCTTATCCTTTGTACCATCGCTTTATGCTCATAATTGAGTGTTTTTTGTTGTTGTTTCTTTCATTTTTACGATTGTATTGAAAATCAATACTTTTAATAGAAGCAAAAATATCCTCTAACGGTGCATAAATGCTTCATTTTTATTTGGAGCTGTTGAAATCCTTCATCCATGGCATTTTTGTGGTCAATTAAATTGCAGGTAAAGTGTTTCACAGGCGGCCATACCGAAAAAAACAAAACTCAATCATAACAGTGAAACTGTAATGAACCAACAGCAGATTTGGATCTTTCGGGAAATATATAACTAAGAGGTGGTAACGGTGATGTTACCAACCGAATCTTTCTCATTTAACATAAATTATTCTGAGAGCGTTAATTGTTTACATTTCTCCATATTTATCAGTTATACACTGATACATTCATTTTCACCAAAATACAAAAACAAACATGATGAAACATAGCTTGCCTATTGATTATATGTCTAGATGAAAAAGTAATATGTCACAAATAGGCTTTCATATATTTTACTATCTCGTCGAGGGTTTCCCCCTTTCAGCGTATTTTTCAGTGTATACTACTTAGCCCTGACCCTAGTAGATCCTGCTTCTATACTTATGTAATTGTTTCTTAACAAAGCTACGTACTATAGAAGGCTGTGACAAAAACTGGGTCACTATAACTGACTGTGTACACATTCAACGTGTGCAACAACTGCGCAGATATTGAAGTAGTTCATAGGCAACAGTATATTGTTGACTGCAGAAAACACTTTATAGTCTACAACTTGTCAAGTAAGTAACCAGCTTTTACATATCAACATCCTCAGAAGTAGGATTCTTCATGTGTGTACAGATAAAAATAGTAATGCTTTACATTTTTGATGAGGAAAATAGGTTTGAAGTGTTTCTTTTTTTAAAGTGAATATTTGATATGTTGATAATCTGATGAATGAACCTACTTAGGATGCCATTAAGACTATGTGGGAGATGCAACGTTCTATAACATAGAGATATATAGGTTAATAACATCTTTCAATACATGCAGTATTTGCACAATTTAGGAGAAAGATCACTCGGACTCTTTTCACCGACGGCGATGCAAAGTAATTATTTTTCATATCTTGACATGGCAAAGATCATTGCCGTATCATTATTTTACGCATGATCGCTCCTCTATGTTTATGTTCACTGGTAATACAACCAATCCCTCCATTTATCTGTGTATGTCTAGGATATGATATCAATTACCTTTTTACAAAGGGAAAAGTTTAATGTTGCTACCCACGTATATTTATCTTCCGGTGAACAACCAACACAACAACTTATGCATGCGTGCTCAATTACAAATTACAAAAAATGTACCTTTTGCAAACTAATAGACCTTGTAGGGCAACATAAATAATATTTTCGTCTTCTATTTTTTTCAGATAAATGTTTAGTAAATTTCGGCAAAATTGTGGATGGCTAACCATTAAATTTCAAATATCTAAATTGAAAAGAAAAAGAAGAAAATTATGTAGTACACGTACGTCATGTTAACATTTTTTTCCATTGAGGAAACAGAAACAGACAACAAACATATATCATTCATATTTGTTATGATTACCAATATATTGATGCGTGTGTGAGAATGACATTATATTTTTAATCGAACACGTGTTCGATAACACAGTGGTTGAAAAAATCGCCGCAAAATATTCTTGAAGGAGCTATGGGTAATTGCTGCAGAAATAATTAAGTTAACAATATCCATTTAAGTATTTATCTTGACTGATCATGAAATACTGTTGCCAAATTATAGAATTTGTTTCATTTACAGAATAACTGATGATATGGCGAGCCCACCCTCTGTCTCTATGCCCATTTTACATGTTCGTGGTAATCACTATGATGTCGGATACCATACTGGTGTTACGTTCCAGAATAGAATTAAGTTGTTCTACCAGAGTTCACTATTAGTTCAGGAGAAACTACTTCCGTTCTACTCCCAAAAACGTGGACGAGAAATAACAGAAATTTACCTCAGAGGGGCACGTGATCACTTCCCCAAGCTGATTCGTGAGGTACAAGGTATGGCCGATGGCGTGGGAATGGCATTTGAAGACATTTTTTTGCTTAATATTGCAAAGGAAGTTTATAATTGTCATTGTTATGAAATGGAAACTTGGCCCCCGGAATCTGATAACCTGGGATGTTCAGACATTATGATCAACACCCAGGCGGTGAAGCTGATAGGACACAATGAGGACTGTGATCCACAATCAAGAACCTCTGGCTACATTGTCAGTGCTCACGTCATAGAAGACTCCACTGACGAAAAGTTCACAACCTTTTCGTACCCCGGCAGTTTACCAGGCAATACGTTCGCTTTTAATCAGCATGGTATGATATTTGGATGCAATGGACTCTATCCCATAACAGCTATAGTCGGGGCGACTCCGAGATTTTTCCTGAACAGATCTATGATGGCTGCCAAAACCGCAGAACATGCGCTAGAAATTGGCAAGAACGTGGGAGGCGGATGTGCTGTCGGGTTTAATCTGAACATGGGGAACTGGAAAAATCTTGGTGATATGTGGGGGTTGGAAATAGGCCCCGGCGCGAATGAAGGCATGACCAATTTGCAAACATTTAAAGAACAGACCAAAGTCGACGATTCGCCATGTTATCTGCATAGCAACAATTACAAACATCTGAGCGTCAAGGAAATGGATAATTTGTCATCATCAACAGCTCGAATGGAACGTATGCTAGAGTTTAAACCGCCTTCGACACTGGAGGAAATGAAGACGATCCTGGGTGACACGAATAATGCTAAGTATCCAATTTATCGAACACCTAGGGCCACAGACAGTTCACAGACTGTAGCAACGGCATTGTTTGACCTTATTGACAGAAAGATGAATTTGTACATGGATAATCCCAAGTTTGCTTCATCACCCTTCCTCACTTTGTCTCTCGAATAGTTCATGTCTATAGATATCGACAACCTGGCGGACTGAATTTATCGAACGCAATCACATATATGGCCTGATTTTAAGCAGGCGCTGTTTGACAAGCAGGTGTTTGATTAGCAGGTTTATGTGTCTAAATACCTAAATCAACAAAATAATTCCGTACGTCATGTGCAAGTGACTTTTACCGATAGCTTTAAGCAAATAGAATGAAATGTTTACGATATGACAATGTCTGTTTTCTTTCAATTGAACGTGTTCGAATGATTGTGTTGGAAGACAACCATGGTTTCATTTATGTCATTGAGTCCTTGAAGATGTCACCAAAGACAAGGAGAAGAATTGAGAATATATAATTTAAAAGTCTCAGTTTAATAAATTATCGTTTTCAAGAAGAACTGCAAAAGTACCTAAGTGATTGGATAAACATTATCTTGTATTAGTTTCCACTTTTATTTGAGATTCATGAATCTCGATTGAGGCTCTATAAAATGAATAATTTTTTTCCTCATATCATAAAAGGAACACATATATTCCTTGTTATCGTCAGTATTTTATTCTTCATCATGCACGATAGAGCAATACTTCCTTATCTATTTTCTAATAAAGTGTATTACATTTTGAATAATTTAATCTTTGTAGAATATTCGTGTTTGTTTTTCATAGAATATTGAAGGTCATAACGATTTTTGTCACAGCGACCACCTTATATCAACACTTGATATGTTCTTTGCCGTTTGCTAACTGCTCAGTTTAAGATAATAACTAATTTTTTCTTTGTCGCATAACAAGTAGCAAGAATCAAATAGTCTGAAATTTTCTGTCTCTTGTATAGTTACCGACAAAAAGGAACATTACAGGATGTCATGAGAGACATAATGTATCAAACATGCTTAATTCCTCCTTGGAATGGATTCCTAAGTCAGACATCAGACGCATGAGCAACATAAAATTTACTATCTATAGGGGAAAGGGTTTCATCAATGTATTTACATATGAATTAAATGTTGATTTCAATTTCAATTTCAAAGATTTTTCATTGACATATAAATACATATCTGGCAAGGGAATTGGATGTCAGACAGAGCCTATGTAAGTTCTCTCCCACAAATATTGTTAAGATCACATTGGTACAAGACAAAAACATTAACATACAACATAATCATTAGATAATAATACTGCAATTATATACCAGGCAAGCAACTCCTACCTACCTAAATGTGTTACTATTTTAAGGATAACACTTGGATTCAGGGACTTCTTGGATTCAAATTTAAATTTATACTCAAAAATGGGGAAAAACATTATATTATTAATCACTAGGCTATATATTTGTAGATATTGTTGAGATTAAATGTCTTCACCTCATCAGATACAGGTCCAAAGTCCATTTCAGCAATACTAGCAACTGATGAGGTTCAGAAATAAAATCTCATCAAATAATTTACATTATGTAAAAGTATAAATCTGTGTTTATGTTTACACTTACTTCTTATATTCTACACTATATAGAAAAGTTTGCTTCCATACTTAATTAAATATAAATATATGTAATTATTGATACAATTCTGTATTAGAGCAAGGGTAACCAAAACGTAGAGAAGTTCCATAAGAGACCAAAAACGTAGAAAAGTTCCACCAGAGACCAGAAACGTAAGGAAATTCTACCACGGACCAGAAACGTTGAAAAGTTCCATTATGGAACAGCAACGTAGAGAAGTTCCGTCACGGACCCGAAACGTAGAGAAGTTCCACCAGGGACCTTAACGTAGCGAAAGTAGCTAGGGATCAGAAACATAGACAACTGGAAATAGAGACCAGAAATGCAGGGAAGTGTGGCTAGGTACAAGAAACGTAGCGAAGTGTAGCTAGGAATCAGAAACATAGAGAAGTGTGCTAGGGACCAAATATGCACAGAAATGTGACTTGGGGCCAGCAACGTAGAAAAGTGGAACCATAGACCAGAAATGTAGAGACGTTGGGCTAGGAAGCAGAAACGTAATGAAATTTGATCAGGAATATTGAAACTTTGAGAAGTGTACCTAAGGAAACGAAACTTACAGAATGGTTGCTAGGGACCAGAAACGTAGAGAAATGTAACTAATAGGGACAAAAACATTAAGCAGTGGGACTATAGGCCAGCATTGTAAGAATGACTAGAGACACGAAACGTAGAGAAGTGGGACCACAGACCAGAAGTATAAAGAAGAATGACTAGGGACACAAAACGCAGAGAAGTGGGACCACAGACCAGAAGTATAAAGAAGAACTACTAGGGACTGAAAACGTAGAAAAGTTAAACAAGAGATTAGAAACGTGAATGTCTGACCAGGAACCAGCAACGTACAGAACTGGCTAGGGACTGAAAACGTAGACACAATTCACTCAGGACCAGAAATGTAGAATAAATGGGACTAGGGATCAGATATGTCAAATAGTGGAACTAAGGACAAGAACTGTTGAGAATTGTTATTAGGGTCATTTGTACGTAGAGAAGTGTAAATACGGACCGGAAATACAGAAAAGTGCTGCTATGGACCGGATGTGTGATCAGGGACAAATTAGTGAATTGTGATTAAGGATTATACACTGACTCATCACGATTTAATTTCAAGTACTTTAAACAGCATAGACAGTCGATAACTACAACACTCTTATTTAACACGTAAAGTTAAATGGAACGTGATATTAACATCAATGATATAAAAGCCTAGCTTCAAAGGGTTAAAGTATGATGTTTAAGGTACTGATGCATGTCAATATAATACACATAGGTAATTCAAAACCACGTCAGGAAAATTGATAAACAAGATGTCTAGTCATGCTTATATAAGCACATCTTGATAATTGGAATTAAAAACGTGTTTACGAATATTCTTAAGAGTATTATGCACAAACGACTTTCCGAGTCTTAAAACTCATACATTGTGAAATTGGGTTTATCTCTTCTCATAGAGGACATTTTTCTCGAAGATATAAAGAATGTCTATCCATAGAATATGACTAATTAAGGCTATGTCTGTTATCGAAACCCTTCTTCTTATGATTTGATGAAATGAGATTTACTGAAATGAAAATATTTGCCTAAATATGTTTTTAGATATCATTAGCATGAGAAACGTAAGTTTTACTTAAACTTTTTGGTATTCCTCATGTTTCTACTTTTGATTTGGTTGGTAAAAGGATATGATTTTAGTAAGTACGAGTATGTGCGAATAAAATAAGACATAGTAACACGTTACTACTGTAATACTTTCATTGCTTCTGTTATCTTGGTTCCCAGGGATTTCAACATGTCTGTGTACTGTTCGTCAACTTTTCCAGTTTTCGAATTCGTTTTTTGGGAATAATTCAATATTTCCTTTTTCATATATTTGAAATAAGATGTAAAAGATGTTTTTTCTCTCTATTTTTGTTTTGTTTTCCTTACACGATGAGATGTGTCATCGAAAGTTTTGATGAGTTTGCAACTAAGGCTTTAGACACTGAGAGCACAACAAAGTCTCCTTTGTTACAAACACAATAATTCTAGCAATACTCCTATGTGTCCTTGATATTCCTCGTTAGATAGGGTATAAGCCAGCACTTTGTTGCTCAAATAGTCGAGTTCAATTACTTCATGTTTTCATGAAATTCATTAATATTGGAAAAGCCATGATGAAGAAGACTAATTGAATTATTATCATTTCTTCAACTATTTCGGTTAATATTACGTTGGAGATATTGTACTAATTTGATAGTGCCTGAAAACTAAAAACTAGCTTCAGTGAATCTTCGAAACTGTGCATGAAAACTAAAAACTGGCTTCAGTAAAGCTCTGAAACTGTGTCTGAAAACTAAAAACTAGCTTCACTGAAGGTTATATCCATTAGTGTTGACATGGTGTGAAGCTTCCCGTGGTATTTGCTGAAACTTGTCTTACTTCTTAAACAGGTATACATGCTTAACTTATATATCTACCCACAAAATTATGCACTAGCTGAAATATACTATTAAAGGTTGATATTTACTGACAACAAAGTAAACTTGCTAAAATATACTATTATACTTTAATATTTACTAACAACGATGTACACTGGCTAAAAGATACTATTTTACATTGGGACGCATACTTCTAATTGTAAGCGAGAATATTATCTAAGCAAATAATGTTGCTTTTCCATGTGTTCTTGGAACTAACCATATCTGATTTAGTTTCCGCTGAAAAGATATAATTTGTTAAGGACAATTTTCTTAAATCTAATGTAAAACACTGTTTTAATTTATCTGATCTCTGATTAACTGAATTTTTATTTCATAATATCTTGACAGGCCACCTCATTTTTTGTAGCAATAATGGGCAAAGGTTAATCTAAATGTTTAAAATCTGACACTGGTATCGGATGCGTGAGTCAAATAATGCGAATTCCACAATAAAATTAATACCATTTTATATACAACGGTGTTCTAGTGTAAGACAGGTTAAAAATATAAATTTTTCATAATCCTTAATCTATGAAGCAATTCTCCATAATGTCAATCCATATCTGTTTAAAGATCTGATAGAAATAAAAAAAAATATTGACCAGTCTAAAATGAACGTCACGAGCAGGGTTCGAACCTGCGCGGGAAGATCCCATTGGATTTCAAGTCCAACGCCTTAACCACTCGGCCATCGTGACATATACAATATATATATAGCAGCAACTTCACGTCACCTGTATATTGTAGGACGATAATTATTTGTAACACTGTAATTAGCATATTTGTAAAAGGTGACTTAATGTGAGAGGAACATATACGGATCTATTATCAACGGACATTTACAAAATGGAAATCAAACGAAGATCAACGCTTCTCTTACCACTTCATAGTATTGGATGTTCATGCAATAAATGCGCCAAAATTAGTACCTAATACGCCAATATTTATCAAGCCGAGTTAACCACTGTGTCAACAAATAGTTAACTAATCTAAACATTCAGTGTTACTTCATAGAGGTAGATGAACGTCTTATTTAACATCAAAAATCTAGGTCGAGAAATTGTGTTTTAGTATATACATACTTACAAGCCGGTATGACTTGATTTCAAAGCATTATGCTTCCATTCATAAAGGATCACATTTAAATGCATGGCTTTCAAATCCATATAATTTTAAAAGATAATTTTGTTGTTTTTACATTCTACTTATAAAAGAGAGTTGTTTTTCAGGTTGAAAAACATAACAATAACAATTGCTCTAATTGGTGTTCAAAATCTGTTAGGTGAGTTTGCATAATATATGTATTGACAGGCTAGAAGTTTTCAACACCAGTGATAAAGGATGCCAAAGAGAACCTTGTGTTACGATTCCATTCCCTGGTGTAGGTAGAAAGGGAATATTATCGTCTTCTTATAAAGTGGATGTTATCAACACCTGCAATATTTTACACCAGGAAGTTGCCCACCCTAATTACAAGGCAGGTATATGCCTGTAATTTCCCTCATTTAATCCAAACCTATTCAACTACATTGTACAAACAAACACTGCAACAGCTGAATTTAGATAACCTCAGAACTAGTCCTCCGTCAGTTTGTTCTTGTTCTACCTCTTCTTATAATTATGGACACATCCGTACCTCTGTTCATTTAAACGATTTTATATCCACAATC